TTAGGGATTTTAGGGTGTAGGGTTTAGGGCCAGGGCTTAGTTTAGAGCCTGGAGTGTAGCTATGGTTTTGAATTTTGTTTTTTAGCTTAGGGTCTATAGGGCAGAGTCTAGGGTGGGTGGAGTGTGGTTCGTTACTATTTGCGGCCAGGGTTGTTGTGTTGGACGGTCCTGGTGGCTGTCATGCTTAGATGGCTTAGATTTCGCATCAAGCTATTGGTTTGAAGATTCCACTGGTTAGCTTATCATTATGATTATTGCATTCAGTGGGCCATAAGCTGTTTATACTGTCATAATTCCTTTCACTATTGGCATGACAACCGTAGCAGCTAGCCGACTATAACGCTGAGCTGTTTTGCCTATTTTGAGAGCAGGCATATCCTCTGGCCATCACGACAGGAGCAGTAGCAGGAAGGATCTGAGGCATGTTGCTCAAGCGCTAGAGCAAAAGACAGGCATCCAGGACAGGTGCATCGGCTTACATTGCCGGGGTCTGAACTGCATTCTTCCGGCAGTCCTGGAGTCAAGGCTGACGTGTTTCCCTGGCTTTGATCCTACGGACCATCTTAGCACTGCGTGAGGTCCGACGGAAGCCTGGGCCCCCACCTCCAAGCATCCACATGTACTATCTTGGGTCGTTCGTTAGCTCTTGAAGGAGAGTTGGATGACGGATCACGCTTCCATGATGTATTCTGGGTTTCCCGAGAAGATCGCCACAGCTTGCTTCCCACACATCGCGCAGCCTGTACAACGCGACAACATCGCAAGCCCTGCTGTACGCATCTAGTATACGGCATTCTAGTCTGCTGGAAGCTTGTACAGCCATCGCTGCAGCATAATATGGAGAAAGCATTGTGAAGAACCGCAAAAAACTCAAGCACGTCTACAGCTCTACCCCGACTCCTACACCCACTTCCCAATCTACTTTTGCATCCTTGACAGGGTAGTTCGGGCCCCTCTCAACTGCAGTTGGAATGCCAAATCTCGGCATCCTGGCAAAGAGGGATTAGCATTAGAGAGTTCAGGGCTTAGGGCTTCCTTTGATGCTTCCCAGCTGCTTGGCAGAGTCTGGGTTCAACAAGGGTTTCCTGTGATATGCTTCGTGAATATTGGGGAGCTGAGATGTGCCGGCCCGCAGTGCGGTGGGAGCTGCTGGCAAGTAAAGTTACTACAATCGCTAAATGATTACCAAAACTATTTTGGGGTTCTGTATTATGATTGTAGTATAATATCCCCCGAACCCTATTCTATTGTTAAGGCCGCTACATTACTTGGTCATACGTGGATGCGCCGCACTCGTTAGCTGAGAAGCTTCCTGCACGTTTTGCCCCATGCCGCCACCCGAAGCTTGAGCTTTGCCATTGCAGGCAATTGCTGGGGCAGAAGACTCCGTCAGGAAACGATGGACTGCAAATACAAACTTTCTGCAGCTTGGATGCACGGGTCACGTCACTGTTGACGTGTCACGGGGCAGGAGGATGCTGTGTGACTCTGTGTGCGTACGATTTGGTTGTGCTTGCTGCGAGCGTGCTTTGCTGTCAGGTTCGCCAACTACACGGACGAGTATGTCAAGGTGCACTCATATACTGCTTAGTATGCTTCATGGCTTTATGTAGAACTAACGGTACATCGTTGTGTCTCC